AATTCGGTTGGACGACACTTTTCTATCACAAACTACTTTCTTCTGATCTAGTTGGAATTTCCCATTCAGAAAAGTTTGTGTGTTAATATAAGGAACTGTCTTGGCTAGTAAATAAATCCTGTTCCATAATTCCACTTTTTGCCATTTGTTGTCACCTTTGTCAAATTTTTTTTTACATCTGGTTCTGACAGAAGTATTGATCCTCGCACTTGCAGCCACTTGGATTTTAACCATGAATTCATTTCAAACATAAAGGAGTATCCCATACATCGCTTCATGGTTGGGTAAAAAGTCTGTTATCCATGATGGCTTCTGAAATATTAAAACAGGAAAACACAAAGCATCATGTTATTTAATAAACTGCAGGTTCAGAAATTTTTCTTATCATTCATAAAGGACAAGCGTTTAATGGCTTATGCAGGGATGTGTGTGATGTTTTTCTCTCACAAAAATACTCTTGATTTCCAACTTTGATGGATTAAAATAAAAATTGTTCTGACAGCTTTTGCCATAAGTTTAATGTAAAGTCCTTATAAAAATTCAGACTTTATTGCGACAAACAAATAGAAAAAATATGCTCATATATACCATTTTTTTTTTAGAATGCAATATAGGGATTGTCATATTTCCCAATACATGTAGTTCTCTTCCTTTCAAGCATTTTTTTGTCAGGGAAATATATTTCACTTGCTATAATTAACATGATTAAGTGCACAACATAATTATTATTTCTTATTTACAATGCAAACAAAGGTAAAAGGGTGAAAAAATGTGAAGACTAGAAAAAAACTTACAAAGTGTTAGGGTATATTTGAAGAATAAAATACATCCCTGTGTCATCCCCCTATTATAATAAATAATAACCTGTCAAATTATTGGGCTGTTTAATCGAGAAAAAATAAAACAAAGAGGTTAAATACTGTACTAAATATAAGAAAAATATAAATACATAATAACCTAATCCTGTTGTTAGATAATCTCCTGGCATGACATGGTTACCAGCTGGTTATGGCAAACTTGTCGAATAGTTTCCGCCGGGTTTCCCTAGATATTTTTGATGGGTGGATCAACTCTCTTGATGCCTTCTCTCCATTTTAAAAGAATTTCATGGTCTTTTGGGATTCTGTGGTCCCCCTTCAGAATAATTGCAGCCGGGGACACAACAATTTTGAAGCTTAGTTTGGTGAAATTAGCGAGTGTCGATTGTGGTTACTAATGTAAACATGTGCAACGTAATGCGATTCAAGCGTCAAAGTGATTAAAACGTTTCCGACAACCACTTATGGAACACCAGCGACGTCTACAGGAAGAAATATTACGAATGATCCCTATTGGAACATCAGCAACGTCATCATAACACCCGTTACTATGTGACGTATCTAAAGCTATACAGAACAATTAAAGAATGTCAAAGGCTCACAGAGGGAAGATAATGACGTGCATCCGTCAATAATACGTTTTTTATTCTAAAACCACGCAATTTACACTCCAAATACTTAAAATTAATGTTTTAAAGTGTGATTTATAAATTATTACATACCCGACAAAATTATTTTCACATCAAATTACAAAATCCTTCACCATGTTCACGTATGCGGAAAATATCAGGTTGAGTTTTTCACTGTATTAATTTGTTGTAATAGAATAGTCAAACAAACATACAAACAGTAAACATGAAATCTAAAAACCTTTAGAAAACCTGTTGAAAAAGTGTTTCAAGAAAATTAAAACAAATGTTACATTTAACGAGTTACCATGGCAACAAACCATTACGAAATTTGTATATTTTGTAAAATTTATGGATTTTCCTTGTTACCACGTCAAATTCTAAGTATAAATTACATTGGCATAGTATGTGCTCACAATTATGCCAAAGAAAGAACTTTATGCATTTTTGGTGAGGTTATATATCAATATGATAAAACTTCTTTTGAATTATTTTGTTGTTTCTTGGCTGCTCATCCACAATAATAACGATGAAAAATTGCATACATTCTATTTTTTGCATCGTTTTCATGAAAACAGTACTTATTATGACGTAATTGTGACGTAATCAGATAAAAAAAATCTTTACGATTTTCATTTAAATTTCTAGACTCTATGCAATATTATGCGCAAAATTGGTGTACTAGTAGTTGTCAAACATTTTATTTTCTTGGACCAAAACTGGGCTTTAATGCCCCTTCTCTTTTATATATTGGGTGGCCTACAAGTTAAATAATTACGAATGTGAAGACCAGCTAGATCTACTGTTCTCTAAGCTTGAACGCATACAGTGTTACTTGAGTTCAATGGGCGTTCCATAGAAATTCATTCGTAGTTATCGCCCTTTGATTCCGTACCTGTATTATTTTGATTTATATATGCAGTCACGACAATAAGCATGACGCAAGTAAGCAATATTACTTTATATAGTCGTACATAACAAACAATAGTTGTGCATAACGTTTTCACAACAACAAAATCGTCTAACACTCGCTGACATTTATAGGTCGATCAATATTTCACGGTTTCCGTTGATCAGTGGTGATGTAAACATTTAGGAAGAGATGTTGTTTTGTTTAAAAATCAAGTCGTAGACACATTTTTTGTACTTTATATATGTTTTTTTACTATGTAAGATATATATGTGTCTAAGGAACGCCTAATTTACATTTTTTTATTATCACATTAACCGTGTACTGCAATATTCTATTTGCCATTTTCAGATTTGATTCTGTTATTACACTCTTTTTACACAAAATATTCAAAGAAATGTCTCATTTTATGAAAATTTAATATTCAAATATTTGTCTAAGGCCATCTTTTTTTACCGTTCACTTTTTATATCATTATACAATTCAAAATCATTTATGAATTACAGAATTCATATATATCTTTATTTTTATTCTTTATAAATATTTTTTTATATTGGGACCGGATCGACCTTAAATATGGGGCCGGATCGACTTGGGATGGAACGACTTGGGACGGAACGACTTTAATTGGGACGGATCGACTTGGGGCCGGATCGACATGAAAGCCAAACTCTTTTCCTGAGATTATTATAGAATGGTTCTTAACGTGACAAAATGAGTTTCTGCCATTGAAAAGCCTGCTCAGTTGAACGTAATACATGTCATATATAGGTGTGTTAACAAATTTTTATTGAAAAATTACTATTGACACTATTGTTATCAAAAGTTAATATCTTTAAATAATTACATAACAAAACATAAAGCAGAGGCGGATCCAGGGGTGGTCACCTGGTGCACGTGACCCCCTGGGGATTAACAAAATGGTGGATCATGTACAATAATGGTGCTCCATGTACATCAATGATGCACCATGCATATCTTATAACATTATCTATACTACTTGAATAACGAAGTCCAATTTGTTAGCCGACATGACGTAAAAACGACGAATCAAAGAATTCAACTTTATATATAAACATGTAACTAATATATGACAACAACTAGTGTTGATTGAAAATAACACTATTCCACCCTTTTGTTTCCACATAATTAATATTACCAATAATTAACAAGTTCCAGGTCGAATCCGACACCGATACATACCAATAGTATATGTCACATGTAGTTTCCGGTTGTATAGCGAAAACAAAAACTAAAAATCCAGGCTAGAAATAAGATGTAGGTACTTTAATTCAGTCAATTAATCTATCACTGGTAATAACTAACGTTTAGGCGAACAACTTACATGTATCTTGACATCTTAATCGCTAATAACATGTTCCTTGCATTAACATACATGTTTAACAATTGTTTTAATTACTTCTTCGATTCCTTTGATGTGTATGTGTTAAACTGACGAGATTGTCCTCAATCTAAGGTTAAAAAAGTTTAAACTTGGTTGACACACTCCTGATCATTTGATGCTTTTCTTCTTTGATGCCAAAATTCAAAATATTATTTTATTCGTTTTTGATTTTCATTAACATTCTTAATCCTATACCCCCCTTCTATCAATTGTCTAAACATTCGGGCATTGTACTTTGTAAAATTTACCCTCTGTCCTCCAGGAAACGCCACAAATCAGCCCCTTCGGAAGTACCAACGACTCGTAATATACCTAGAAATGATACGAACAACAGTGGGGATTGTTATCACGAAACAACCACCGACATGTCAGTGGCGGATCCAGAAATTTTCATAAGGGGGGGGGGGGGGGGGGGGGGGGGCACTGACTGGCTTAAAGGGGGCCGCTCCAGTCATTCTTCAGTGATTCCCTATATAATCAACCAATTTTTTTCCTCAAAGGGGAGGGGAGGGGCGGGCACCATGCTCCCCATAAATCCGCCTCTGCATGTACATAGGTATTTATAAATGACATTGGTCTTGTGAAGCAATTAACAAGTCAAATAACAAATGAGAAAACAAAATTGACAAGAAACGATTTTCAACCAACTGTGACTGCCACGCTGAGGCAAGAGCCAATGACAGACAATATTGAGAAAAAGAAGGTCAATGTACAAACTCTAAGTGGTGCATTGATGCACGTGAATTATAATTTACACTTAGAACTTGATGTGATCGTTGACCTATGTTTGGCCCTAATCTCTTTTCTGAAAACCTTATGTGTATGTGATTGATTGCTGATTTTAATTTATTAATATAAACCACATACATCGTGCATTTTCCTTTTCCTTATTCATATCACAATGCTTATTTTATTGAGTCACAACAAGAGTTGATTGTTCAATGACATTTATATTTACGACTAATATTGACCTTGGGTCAACATATTCATTAGAAGTAACTCGAAATGGGTCTTTTTACATAATTTAAAACAAGTTATTTCTCTGCATTGGTTCTCGAAATCCAAAAAAAATGGAAATCCAAAAGAGCAAACATTAAGTAACAATAAAAAAATATAATAACATCATAAAAAGTAAAAAAAAAAAATATATATATAAATTAAAAATCAGCTGCTTTTGGATGATAAGTCAACAATATAAATTATTCCATCTTTTACTGACTGAATACATTAATAGTTATTTTATGTCGATCAGACTCCAGGTAACTTAGAGAAAATGAGAAGTGGACGAGAAAGAACAGAAACAAATAAAATGTCTGACAACGAAAATACAGCTGATTCCATGATCACATCCCTTGAGCAGACTCCGGACCACTTAAAGGAACACATCAGCTTTCATGCTGGAGAAAATTATTATAAATGTGAAGTGTGTGGTAAACGTTGCAATAACGGTACAAAGCTGAAGGCACATATGAGATCACACATTGGAAATACGACTTTCAACATATTTAAATGTGATATATGTAATAAAGGGCTGAGTACATATCGTGGTTTACAAACACACTTCCTAACACACACTGGTTATACACCTTATGAATGTAAAGTGTGTGGTAAAAAGTGTAGTCAGAGTGGTAACTTATGGCAACACATGAAATTGCATACAGGTGATAAACCTTATCAATGTGATGTATGTGGTAAAGGGTTTAGGCAGAATGTTATCTTACAAACACACATGAGAACACATACTAGAGATAAACCTTATAAATGTGATGTATGTGAAAAAGTTTTTAGGCAGAGTAATGGTTTACAGAAACACATAAGAACACACACTGGTGATAAACCATATGCATGTGATTTGTGTGGCAAAAACTTTAGTCGGGGAGATACCTTACAGGCACACATAAAAATACATACTGGAGATAAACCTTATCAATGTAATGTGTGTGGTAGAGGGTTTATTTACAGTTGTAACTTACGGAGACACATTACAGTGCATACTGGTGACAAAATGTTTAAATGTGTCGAATGCAGTAAAAGGTATACTACTAGTCATAGTTTACGGATACACATGAGAATACACACTGGTGAAAAACCTTATAAATGTGATGTATGTGGAAGAGGATTTAGTCTTGGACAGAACATGAGGACCCATATGAGAACACACACCGGTGATAAACCTTATAAATGCAATCTATGTGGTAAAAGTTTTAGTCAGCTTGGGAATTCACAGACACATATGAAGACACATACGTAATTAACCGCATTAGGATGTGATGCATGAATAAATGTTGAGAAAGAACTTGTGCCACATAAAAGGATTCATTATCATGCTGATGTGTATAAAACTTTTACATTGATATCTCAGTTCACTTCTGTCGCAGAAAGCTCGACAAAGGGATAGTGATCCGGCGGCGGCGACCACTGCGGCGTTAGCAAACCTCTAAAAAGCTTAATATTTCAGAAGAAAGAAGACCTGGCGAACAACTTACATGTATCTACATATACTTTGTATATAGATGCCTTATATTATGAAGTTTCCGTCTGTCATAGGTCTACTGTCCTTGACCTCATTTTCATGGTTCAGTGACTTCTTGAAAAAAAGTTAAGATTTTTAGTATTCTTAATTTTTCTCTCGTTATGAGTACTATGATAACTATTTTTGGTACGTGCGTACCTTGCAAGGTCCTCATACCCGTCAGACAGTTTTCACTTGACCTCGACCTCATTTTATGGAACAGAAAACAAAGTTACGTTTTCGTGGTCAAGTAAAATTGAGAATGGAAATGAGGAATGTGTCAAAGAGACGACAACCCGACCATAGAACAGACAACAGCAGAAGGTCACCAACAGGTCTTCAATGCAGCGAGAAATTCCCGCACCCGAAGGCGTCCTTCAGCTGGCCCCTAAACAAATATATATACTAGTTCAGTGATAATGAACGCCATACCAAACTCCAAATTGTACACAAGAAACTAAAATTAAAAATAATACAAGACTAACAAAGGCTAGAGGCTCCTGACTTGGGACAGGCGCAAAAATGCGGCGGGTTAAACATGTTTATGAGATCTCAACCCTCCCCCTATACCTCTAGCCAATGTAGAAAAGTAAATGCATAACAATACGCACATTAAAATTCAGTTCAAGAGAAGTCCGAGTCTGATGTCAGAAGATGTAACCAAAGAAAATAAACAAAATGACAATAATACATAAATAACAACAGACTACTAGCAGTTAACTGACATGCCAGCTCCAGACTTCAATTAAACTGATTGAAAGATTATGTCTTCATCATATGAATATCAGGCACAATCCTTCCCGTTAGGGGTTTAGTATCATACCATCATAACATATATGAGTCCATATCTCAGATACTGTAAGCAATAGGTATAATATATTTGGTGTATGGAATGATTGTCAGGTGTACATGTCCAACTGGCAGGTGTCATCTAACCTTGATCTCATTTTCATGGTTCTGTGGTTAAAGTTAGGTTTTTGTGTTTTGGTCTGTTTTTCTATACGATAACAATAGGTCAACTACATTTGGTGTATGTAATGATTGTAAGGTGTAAATGTTTGTCTACCAATTATCATCTGACCATGACCTAATTTTCAGAGTTCAATGGTCAATCTTAAGTTTTCCTGGTTAAGTTTGTTTCTTACATGTGCAATAGGTCAACTATATTTAAAGCATATTTGGTGTATGGAATGATTGTAAGGTGTACATGTATTTCCAGTTGTGTTATCCGACCTTGACCTCATTTTCTTGGATCATGGTAAGTTTATGTGATAGTTGTAGTAAAGCTTTATATTTAGGATTATCAACATAATATCAATGGTTAAGTAAAGAAATGGGACATTTTAGTGTGTACACTCTTGTTATACTAATATATGATGTCTAATGTAATGGTGTTAGTCAGTAAGAATTTGCAGGAAAATATTAAAATACTTATTGGTATTTAATCTTATAAATAAAATTCATAAAAGCTGTTGTACATCAAAACATACTTTTATTCGTACAGTTTAAATAGACAGGGATACAGTTTGTCCCGTCTATGAATTGTTTTCCTTTGTAATAAAAACTTAAATTGGAAATAAAGTCTGTAACTTGAAAATGTACTTTTTTCTGACTTTTGTAGACAGTGGAGACTTCTTAGTAATACCATTTAGTTATTTATTGCAAATATCGTGTAATTAGCAGATAGAAGCTATGAACGGCAGATTTGATAAAATCAATTTTCTATATATATAGTTAAATATGGCAGTGAATATAAATGTAGATACAAACAAAATTCTAATGGTATGGTTTCGGTAAACTGAATGTTATATACATATTATTAACATGGAATTAAACTTTAACTGTTATAACAATTTATAATGTTGTTCTTACAAGCCTACATGCATTGTATATATATTTGAGCTGTATTACATGTTTATGTTTATGTATATGATATTCACGTAGTTGTATGTATATTATCTCTGTAACTTTGTAGTATTGTTTCTGAAAATAAAGTTAATTCATTTAGATTACCAAGATTGGTATTTGCATCAACTGCCCTGAGCTTTATATGTGAAATAATTCCACGGTGGTTCAAGTTCCCTTTCGGATTTGAAAGGAAACATTAGCTTCAGAAGATGTCTGTACTTTGATTTTTTTAGGGGATGGGGGGAAGATTTATCCAATTGATAACAGTTTTGACAGTCTTTAATTGACGCCATTTTACAGTTTCAAAACTGTATCTTGTGACCGGCCAACTGCCAGAAAAAAAAAACATTACCGATGCCACCATAAAACACTAATAACATAGTTTTACATGGAACATGGAATTATCATTTTTAACCAATGTCCAACTGCGTTTATATAAATGTTTACTACCAAAACCCAATGAATATGTTATTTTATGCTAGTATGAATTCCGTGTTTATTTGCAGTGGCGGATCCAGAAATATTCATAAGGGATGCCTACTGACTGCCTAATAGTGGGCCTGCTTCAGTCATGCTTCAGTGATTCTCTAAATAATCAACCAAAATTTTCCCACAAAAGAGGGGCCCGGGCCTTCCTGTCCCTCCTTAAATCCGCATCTAATTTGAATGATTATTCTGCAATGCAGGACATTTATACTGACTCCTATGTCCATCATCGATGCCTAAAAGCGATACGACTCCTCATAGATACCAGGATTGAAATTGTTAACGCCAGACGCGCGTTTCGTCTACAAACGACTCATCAGTAACGTTCGAATAAAAAAAAGGAAAATAGCCAAATAAGTTACGAATTTGATGAGCATTGGTCGAGGACCATAAATTCCGAAAGGTTTTGGCAAATACAGATAGCTTAAGGTAATCTATTCCTGTAGTACAAAATACTAAGTATATTGAAAAAATCAAAGTTTGGTTAACATTTAATTATGATCATATCAATGATATTTTTTTTTATAATAAGCGAGGTATACACATGGTAAACAGTGGGCCTCGGTTGTCGAGTGGTCTAAATAGTCGAACTGCTGTATCACTAGCCAGGCAACACTGAGGTTGTGAGTTCGAATCCTACACGTAGCAGGTGCGCTCGACTTAAATCTTAATTGACTAAGATTGTCAGTTTTCCTACCTAAGGTCCTTTGTTCTCTCCGGGCACTCAGTATTCCTCCACCAATAAAAAATGACCGCCATGAAATAGAAATAGTGCTGAAAGTGGCGTTAAACACCAATCAATCAATGAATGATTTGATGGATTCACATTTAACATTTAACATTAAAGTAAACGAGAAGCTACTTGGTTATGGTTGTTAGCAGAAATTATTCTGTTTTGTAAGTATTATATAGTTCTATCTGTCACAAACTACTATTATAAAAAACACTAATTATTTTAACATATAAGGTTGACAAGGGTATATAGAAATTAGAGAATATATCTTGAATGATTGTTATATTAAAACATTCTTAAAAAAATAATGCTCCTTTTATACAAATATTCTTAGTATAGCATTGATTCAGAGACATATATACATGTATATATGTCTCTGATTGATTGTATATAAAATTTATAACGTATTTATGAATATAATTGTATGATCGATATTGAGTTTTTATTTACTTCATGATAATTCATGGCTGTTTCACGGTAGACACAATTTCATTCCCTTAGTTATCACTGATAAGTCTTATGTAGACGAAACGCGCGTCTGGCGTATTAAATTATAAGCCTGGTACCTTTGATAACTATTTACACCACTGGGTCGATGCCACTGCTGGTGGACGTTTCGTCCCCGAGGGTATCACCAGCCCAGTAGTCAGCACTTCGGTGTTGACATGAATAACAATTATATGGTCATTTTTATAAATTTCCTGTTTACAAAAGTATGAATTTTTTTAAATACTAAGGATTTTCTTATCCCAGGCATAGAATACCTTAGCCATATTTGGCACAACCTTTTGGAATTTTGGGTACTCAATGCTCTTCATCTTTGTACTTGTTTGGCTTGACAACTATTTTGATCTGAGCGTCACTGATGAGTCTTATGTAGACGAAACGCGCGTCTGGCGTATTAAATTATAAGCCTGGTACCTTTGATAACTATTATAATCATATTTAACCTACAAAGTATTGCCGAGCTGGTAGTACGGTCGAACCGACCATGGCCGAAACGTCTATCGTCGGTCTGAATGGGGACGTTAAATCCGATGCCTCGTGCAGAAAGAGTGGGAATATGCATGTAATTATTTGCCATTGAACCGTTATGCAAGGAACTACACGGTCAATCTGTAATATATTTCAAAAAAATATATATAAGAATTTACGGGAGCTATATATGAAAATGCTGTCCTTCGAATCTATTGTTCAAATTCAATAATAAGTATATCTTGCCTCCGATTGTCGTAAATTGAAAAAAGCTGTAAATCTATACAAAAAACAATGAGCTTTGTTAAAAAGGCTTTCCATAGGTATTTAATCGTGATTATCGCCCATTTATTTATTTACTTCCATTGCAATGTGACCAATACAAAGATATTTGGTAAGTAGACGACGAATATTTTGTATTTTATAATTAAAAATTATATCGATTTAACAAAATTAACCGCAAGAACAATAAACCTGAGCAATGAACATTCAGTATTTAGCGCATAAGCAATGACAAAAACAAAAAATCGATTCCCCGTTAAACACCCAATGATATCAAACTGATCTTTGCCGTTGATTCTAACATTTTGTTAAGTCTTTTAAAATTAAAATATGTAATTTGACATTATTTTATCGATCCATAAATTACAAGTTTACAAAATAAATTGTATATGGAACGCCTAGTTAACATTTGTAACTGATTTTTTCCATAAAATCTTCACTTTAGACTTATGAAAGCAGAAGTTCATTACTAGGATAAATGTGCAACCTGCTGTATGGGCAAGGCAATCGCATGGATTTAATACTTGCAA